AGGGGATATATACCTCCCCTTATGCTTAGGGTTAGGGAAGAGAAACTCGTTACTATAGTAGTGCGGTGCCTCGAGTTGCGTTACGAGGAAATCTATAAAGGGGCGGATATATACCAGGTAGATCACAAAGGCTATGCCAAGCGCGTGTGGTAGATACCGGATAATGTAGAACGCGTGGTTGGTTAAGGCGCGGGCTTTATTATAGCTGATAATAATCATAACCTGTCCCTCGCGGACGTAGACGTTACGGACCGCGAGCTTGGTGTTTTCTAAGCGGATACTGGTGGTTTCTGTCGCCCGTCCTAGGAGCCCGGATGTGATATAGAAGGCAGAGAAGCCTAGAGTGGATATCTTAGCCCCTGACTCGAGGTACGCTAGGCACGGTCCCGGTAGCCAGTGGCCGGCGTCGGCTAATGCTCGACCGCGGAACGTAGACGACCAAGCACGACGGGCTATGGCCTTGTATGTCCTTGATAGTCGGTTCTCCGGGTGCTCGAGGAAGCTCCATCTAGGCGTCAGATAGGTCAGATCGTCATAAATAGCAGAAAGGTCGATAGTAGGATCCTAGCTAAGCATAAGCTCGGCTATAAGATCCCGCACTTACGTAATCGTTGCCTGGTATATCGCGGTAAACTCGGATAATCGTATTACTTTATGGTTCCTAATCGTAAACGACTCCCCGTCGGGGGCCTAGGTAAGCGTCCCCGGCGCCCCCTCCTTACGGATAATACTCTTCCCGAAGGCTTTAAGCTCGATGAGCTCGGCTAGCGGTGAGTAGCACCCACGAAGTATATACTTCGTTCGGATCGCCTCTAGGCGCTGCGGGTGTGACGGATACGTCGCCCTAGACGGCCAGCGGTACACGAGTGTGTCGTAGCTGAGTCTGGGTAGACTATACTCGAGGAACAAGAGCCGGCTAACCCAGACCAAGGTAGCGAGATCCGGTGTGTAGTCATAGGCGCTACGGTACGCTAGCGACCGTGGGTGTATACCTAGGACGGCTACGAAGTGTACGATAGTGGAGGAGAGCATGGCTCTGTCTTAGCTCTGGTATATCCAGAATATTATCGAGAGCTGGAGAAGGGCCTCGGCGAGCTCGAGTCGGCTTCCTTGGGGAAGGTGTAAGGGGGCTTGTCCCGCGCTTAGCGTAGACGGAGAGCTCCTTGGCATAGACTTGCTATCTTGGTCGTCTCGAGATAGGATGTCGCTGTTTCCTACTCCCCGATTGCGATTACTAGTTCGGCGGCTGCTTAGACTATCGCTATCGCCCTCGCTGTCGTTGTCGCTGTCGCTCTCGCTATCGCTCTCGCTATCGCTCTCGCACTCGCTCTCCTCACTATGGTCCTTTTCGATACCATAGTCGCTATCACTGCCGCTATCCTTATCGCTGTCGCTCTCCTGGTCGCTTCCGCCATGCCTATCGTCATAGGCCACGCTCTCCCTATGACTCCCGGTGTCGCTACTGGCGTAGTAATCATCGTCGAGAGAAGCCTGGTCACTACCTTTCCCTTCGCCCCTTAGTATAGTCGAAGCTAAGTCTCGTATGTGCCCTATCATCTAAATATCGTCGTCGCGTAGCGGGATATTATACATAGCACGGCGAAGCGACGAGGTTATATCGTGCGCCCGGAAGATATAGTAGATAAACTTCTTCTACTTTAACTTATAGCTTCGGCCCGTGGCGGCCGATATAATACGCAGGGGACGATGGCGGTATATAGCTTGTTGGTAGCTCGTGAGCCAGCACCGTGTTTGGTAGGGAGTGTGCGCGAGTGTGTCCTCGGCCCGGTCGAATATGTCGTCTACGGCGCGCACGAGTACACGGAGTCGTGCTTCGCTTGCCGCGGGGCTCCTCACGACGTGGCCCCTCTACCTGCCGAGGACACGATCCTCCTAGTGCGCGCACGAGCCTCGGAGGGGCAGCGCCGCCGACGCTGCGATAATACCGAGCGGCCGTTTATAGAACCGCTGAGGCCATCCCGTGTGCCTTAACCAAGGCGTTGTCTCGCTAGCGGCGATAGAAGACTGCTCCTCGTCTTCCCGCCACGCGCGTATCGCCTTCTGCTGTATCCGCCTGTCCTCGGCGACCTCTTGCGCATAGAGGATCTGGTCGTCGAGGTTCGGCGAGCGCCGGGCCGGCGGCGGTAGCCATAGCTCTAGTGGACCGTCCCTGCGCGGCTGGTAGCCAGGGGGAGGCGAGCTCGTGGCGGGAGGCGTTGCTAGCTGGAAGTGCGACTGGGTGGTTGGGTCGGGCTGCGGCGGTGACGAAGACACCGGGAGAGATATGGTGCGTGGGAAGGGGATAGAGAATAGTATATATGCATGAATCCGTAGAATAGGTTTAGTTACGAGAGGGGAAAGACAGATAGCTTTTTCGGATCGCTCCTTCCCTCACGCTTATGCTAATGCGATGAGGTCGGGATCTATCCTGGCGTGGTCACGGATACATGGATCCTCTAGAGATATGGTAGGATACAGGGGTAGTTAGGGGTAGCAGGGGTGGGCCTGTCTTGTGAAAGGAGGAGAAGCGTATGTGATTGGGTGGGAGGGGGCAGGGGTTGCCTTTTCGCACGCAAAGGGGCGAGGGAATACTAACCCCGTAGGTAATTCAGCATGCCTGGGCCAAGATCTATAGAGGGCTTCTCGAGCACATCTGTCCAGTATGGCTCTTTGTCAGCTCACAAACGGCGAATAGAAGCGACCGCAGATCCATATGATAGATTTCGGGTGGGCAGCAAGTATCAGTATCACCACTCATGCCCTGTCTTAACTTTCACTGGGCCAGGCAGGATTTCACTGCTCCTAGTTTGGCGGGTCGAGTCTGACCTAGAAACATTCTCTTCGCTATACTACAAGAGACGAGGCCCGCCCAGCCAAGCAACCCAGCCGAGCAACCCAGCCATCTAGATACCCATACGATACTGTCATGTTTCATCCGTTACGTACCCTGCTATCACGTGTACCACGACATCCAAGTCCGGAACAACCCCAATTGGTTGCGTTTTGGAGCTCTGCCCGGGCAAAAACAGCGCGATGCATGGCTTCTGTGGAGTCGAAGCGATTTGAACCTATATGGAGAGTAGTTTGGGGCAAATTTCTCAAGAGAAGCGCATGGCAACAGACTATAAAGAAATATAACTTAGTAGTCGGAATCGTCGGTTGGGATTTGCAGTCTATCGCTATAGACGACGTAAAGATAGACAAGCTCGTTGCGTTCCTCCTCCCAGGCGAGCCTCAGGTACCCGCAGGATTTAGGGAAGACTTCTTAAAGTGTCTTCGGCCATACGTAGAAAAGAAAAAAGACAAGCTCTACTTTCCGGAATAGAGGCTGACCCTTAATATCTCATCCCTCCGTGACGGAGATCGAATCGTTATCAGTCGCCCCTATCTTTTATTCTCACTCCAGGACTCGCTCTAAGGCGCCTTAAAAACCGCCTTTCTATTTTATAATAGGGGGCCAACGCTATAGGAAATTGGTGGTGGCCATATCGGCGGGCTATGTGATAGCGGTCGAACACCGAGAACGACCAGCGAGGTGAAGGACGTGTGTTCCATTCTGCTGTACGGGAAAGCGGGCCGAATGCGTTATTATAGGTTTCAGCGACCAGGCTGTCCAGCTATGCGAGAGTTTGTCTCTATGGATAACGGGCTTCCTACCGGACCTTAGAGGTTTGAAAGGCCTAACGCTTTGGCTTAAAGCAATCAGCTGAAAGAGGCACATATTTAGGTTAGCTCACATGGCGGAGCGTCTTGAAGCGCAGTGTTCCGACTTAACATGCGACCGCATGCGCCTCTCACGTGCACTTCACTTTCCCACCTATCATAACCAGAACAGCAGGAGCATATGCCATGCTTCGTAGTCGCTCATAGTCGACTACTCACAATCACTCTACTAAATAGGAAGCCAAGCTTCGATCGAACGTCACACTTAATAGCGAGAACACTAGAAACAAGTTCCTTAGTATAATTGTCTGTGTGTGCCATAGGCATAACAATGTTCGTAGACGTCTGTCACCACCGTACTAGGGCAATTCGTGTCTTGCGGGGGGCACGTTATTGTGATAGAGTCGACCGTGGAAAAGAAAGGCACCTTAATTTCGGAAAGGCTACTACGTGAGGAGAATATTCGGCTTCTGGAAGAAACTAGATTCTGTATCGATTATAGTTACATTTTTAAATATGAAGCTAAGGCAGCATATGGTGTGATCGTCCGATGGCTTTCTTCGGATCGTAAGTGGGCGTCCTCGAAGAATAATAAAACATCTAAAAATGACCACAGGACCCAGCTTGGATATAGTATCCCCATGCATTTGAAGAAGACCATCGTCTCCAGCGTAAGCAATCTAGATAGGAAATTCGCGGTGGAGGACTATGGGATCGGATTAAGTACGGGGCGAAACGTACGGATTCGTGCCCCTGGACGGGAATAACTGTTCCTTCTGACCACCCAAAGAATAGCTGAGGTTTTGTAAAGGCGTCCCACTTGAGCGAGGGATGCTAGTTGGAAGGGGCAGCAACAGAATCTCACGAACATTGGCACGGCCACCATGAAGCTCAGGCAGTGCTACGCGTTAGGGAGAGGGAAGGATAGGCGTAGAGGACATCACCGGTTGGCAGGAGTGGAGCATCCTTGACTTTCAATCTACTATCACTTCATGCGACAGGCTAGTCGACTGCGCAAGGTGGGCTATTACCAGTCGTTTCAATCACAGACGTGCGGGTCTGACATAAGCAGAACATTGTCCTCATACCGATCTGAGATCCTCTGCGATCCGTGCGGAGGAACTACCACTACAAGCCGTAACGAGGCAAATAGTTCCAACTTCTAGTATAGTAGGCTAGACATAGGTCAAGCAAGGTAATCCTGCGACCGCGCGTTTGTTCTCTCCTGTAGTTTGGTTAATATCGAAGTTACTCCTCGATGATCTTGATATACTTTTCGTAAAATCGGAGCATCTGTCTTGGTCAGCAGTAGTGCTATTAGCGTGCTATTGGCCGTCACATCCTCACCTTCTGGGGACAATTTTTGTATAAGACTGATACGTTATGCCTCGTCCTGTGGCCGGTTTCCTAGGAGATATAGACGGCAAGCCTGCTACTCTCTACTTCACAACCGTTAATGGATATAATCTCTTGCTCCCATGAGCGTTCTAGAGGACTCCATTCAGTCGATTTGGCAAGAGCCGCGGTCTTGGATCGCGGAGACCTCCGGGCTAGGACTAGGGGTGAGTCGCTATTCCTCCTGCGCAGTCCTCGCCGGACTTGTTTTTTAAATAACCTTTCGCGTCCGCCTAGACGGACAAAATACTCTTCTAACGCAGGCGAGTCCCTAGCACGTCAGTTCAGTACCCTTGCGCAAGCCTGTAATACAAGCTTACTCCAGCCTATCTTCAACCTCCCAAGTCCTAAGAAACGTCCCGTTCGAGTCCTCCCATTGGACTAACAATTCGATAGACCCCTGCTTGTAGTCAGTGATGCTGGCCAACAAGTCGCCATGGCCCAAACACACATTCTCATTGATCTTGTGGCGCTGAATTTCCTTTGCGAAGAAGCTACAGATTGTGAGTGCGAAGAAGAGAAGAAGGCGGCAATTACAGGCACGTACTTATCATGTTGAACCTCGTTGCTACCAGACATAGCTATCTTCCGTTTGCTACGACGATTTGGTGGTCCTACAATCTCCTCTCTCTGAGGCATTATAATTAATAGGCAATAGAAGAGTAAGTAGAAGTGCGATCGCAACGATGCGCTTGATTTATAGCGGTATCCTAGCGGACGCCTATACGCACTTGTTCTCAGCGTCCAAAAGCTGCTTCTTGTCTATCGTTGGGATGGCGGTCTGCGGCTTAGGTACGGTATATAGTCTTGAGCATTCGCAGCTTCCTATCGAATCAAATAACACGAAAGTTCATGATGGCTCTATATAGTGTTTATTTTTTGGATACCTTTCGGCGCACTCTATTAAAACGGCAAAGTGCCCAATAGAACCCTGCGTCTTGTCGGTCACTGAAAGTGTTTAGCCGTGTGAAAGACACTGTGACATATGGCGCCGCATTGGCGGGCTGCAGCCCACTCTGAGTGACCCAGCAGCACCTAGCGCTCATCCAAACCCGGCTATTCTGGCAGCACGAGCGCGGCTTATTATGGCTCATCGAGGTAGATTCATATACATATAGATCCGACCCAGGCTCCATAAACAGACAGAGCGCGTGAATAGGAAGCTGCATTTGCTCACGACTGTAATAGGACGTGTGGAGCTGGACAATTCACTAGATGTGGCCTTGACAACCGTTGTCGTGCGCCATCGCTATCTGTCTGCCACGGGTGCATCTGCGCGACCCCTGCGGTCGGGAGGACTGATCGACAGGGGCAGAATGCAGCCACCCCAGCTTCTGATGTTAAGCAGCTCGGGTGTCCATAGCGTTGCCAGGGCTATCACACCCTTTTGATTCTAGTCTTCCATTGTGGCTGCCACACTCCAAGGGCTCCCAGGCAGGTGCCCGCAGTAAGGGCGGAGCCAGACACACCCACTTAATTTTAGTCTTTCATTGTGGTTGCCACACGACGAGGGCCCCTAGGCGAGTGCCCACAGAGGTAGGGGGGCCATCACACCATTTTAATTCTAGTCTCTTATTGTGGCTGCCACACTGCGGTCACATCCAGGCAAAGTGTCCACCGCGATGGCGGGGGTCTTCACACCCTCTCAACTCTAGTCCTCCACTATAGCTACCACACGACAAGGACACCCAGCCCGGTGTCCATAATATTGGCAGGGCCACCACACCCTCCCAGCTCTAGACTCTTATTATGGCCGCCACACTCCAAGGCCCTCTAGGCAGGTGCACACAGAAGTGGCAGGGCCATCACACCCTCTCATCTCTCGTCGTCTCTCACAATCCACGGTGGCTGCAGCTGCCCATGGACAGTGTCTCGGGCCTAGCCGTCGGTCATGATCGTGGCTGCCAGATAGCGAGGTTGCCGGTCATGGGTGGCTGGCCCGGGGGTTTCCTTACGCAACGGCCCAAGAGCACCGCCGGAGCCATCACACCCCGTCGAATCTAGTGTCTTTCCCTCGTGTGCGTAAACTGGAAGAACGCGGCCAGCAGTGGCTGATCCAACCTCATCTCGATATCCTAGCAAGATCCCCTGGGAAACTCGCAGCGAGAATGATGGAGTGCTGTATCCGTCCCTGCTGCGGACCAGGCATCGACCTAGAAATGACTACCCTATTCTTATCATTGTCCCGACGTGTATGCGTCCTACTCACCCCAAGCGAAGATTATACTGTTAAATTACCTATCTAGTGTAGTTTTCGTCGCTCAAAGGCTACATGTATCTATCAGTAAAGACAGAATCCTTTGCTGCGCGGGAAGAAGATGCAATCACAGTCACAACCAACTGTTACGACCCGACATGCGACCGCATGCGCCTCTCACGTGCCCCCCCCCCCCACCTTTTCCTCCTATCATGCACCATTCACGCACCACGCATGATAGTCGACCGTAGCCGCCAGGCGACTACTGTCGACTACACCATGGAGGCGCTCGTAGACGACAGTCGACTACGGTCGACTACACAACATTCACTTAGTATATAGGAAGCCCAGCTTCACCATAGTCAGTCTCTACCAGCTCCTCAGCTATCAATACAATTGTCTACGCAAGATCTACTATCTCGCACATAGACTGTGACCCGACCGCTCAAGTCAACGACATCCTAGTGTACTCAGTTCATAAACCGACTTATATTCTAACTACCCGGTAGCTAGTCTAGACCCGCACGTCACACCAACGTTTATCCTCGTGTACCTGTATTTGTTACGTAATACCTCCTACCCTTTCAAAAACACCAAACAACCCATGTGATGGATTGACAGGAAATACCCATCACTGTGTGGCACAACACCTAATGGCACGGCCACTACGCGCCACGTTCGTGGTTGGCTATCACCAGCGAAATGGGTCCGGGCGGACACAACCCAGTAGTAACAGCAGCCCACGGGTCAATCCTCACTCACTCTGCTTTGACGAGGAGTCCGTCTACAGGAGCGCCTGTTGCAATGCCAAGTGGCACGCAAAGACGCGCCTGCCATCGGACAACGCGATGGCCCGAGGAATCCGAACCCTCTCAACACGCGGTGGATGCGCGACATGAGGCTCTGCATTACTCGGTGTAGTCGGAAGCATCATGCCAAATGACGGTGCATCCAGCAGCGCGGTTTGTCGGCGTATGCCATGACGTGCCTCAAAGGGGCCTGGCTGGTCTTGAAACTACGTTAGTTGTAGAGTCGTCCAGGCGGAAGAGGGCCATACCCAACGCAACGCTCGGAACCACAGTTCGTGCCATGTTTCTGTACCCGCTTCGCAGGGTCTGAATGGAAATATGGTCGAGGAAAGAGGGGACGGCCAGAAGCGAGGGAGCATGGTCTTTTAACCTCCGCGACCTTGGGCCAGCGTCCCACGCTGAGCGACCGGCGCATAGCTCTCGGCCACAATGAGCCGCATATTCAGGCTGTGGGATGGCTAGTCCTTCCAGGGCTCAGTTTGCGCAAGCCGGCCGTCCCACCAACTGTCGGGCCTGTACTGCTCATCCGCTTGTGGCTGCCACGCCGTTGTCTATAAAGATGCAGTGCGCTATATGTCCTGGAATAGCAGCTCACCACTTTAGTCTCCTTTGGCAACATGTCTACCCGCATCTGCAGACGTCCTTGGATAGCGAGACGCTGCGGCAGTTGAGGGCCGAGTGGCGAAGTTCTAGGAAGCGCAGAAAGAGGGGACTACCCGAAACGACGGGTACCACGAAAGGTCGGGGCCGGCTGCACCACGAGGCCGCGTTTAAGTAAGAAAGGCAAGGTGAATTTCACGGGTTGCGCGGCAAGGACATGTGTGGTTACCACGAGATAGATGAATAGATGACGCTTAGCGTGGCTAACATTCCTTTGGCTGCCAAATCTTGATAATGCTATCAACGCTCGACGCTCCAAATGTCTACCGGCTCCTCGTTGTATCTTTCGGGTAGAAGAGTGTCGAGCTTTGTATTGTATCGCTGGACGGCGTCGTGCAAGTCGCGCGCATGGAACTGAACACCGGGTAGGATCCGCGACAGCGCCTCGTCCGTAAGAGCCTTATAGTAGGCCACCTCGTTGCTCAGGCGCCTGATTTCCTCGTGCAACTCCCTTATACGGTTCTAGTGAGTTGTTTCGCTTTTCGGAGGCAGTTCGTGGAATAGTAAGGTACTTGTTTTACCCCCGCTAAGTGCACGTATCTCAAAGTCAACGGGGCCGAGCGATAGCGGCCGGTCCTTGGCGTAACGAGAGGAGCGGTTCTTCAGACGTAGACCCTTTATAACGAAGACGAGTGCCGCGAGCCGCTTCGTCGTCTTTAAAGCAAGCCACGAAGCTTATATACCTGCAGCTATCTGTGGTTACTGCTATATCCAGAATTAGGCATGTCGTTATGACGTAGCCTGGGTCTAGAAGGGGGCACTAGGATAAAAGTTGCCTTATTCGTGGGCGGAACTAGTGAACAGCCTACTAGGTGCGCATACGAATGTACGGATAGTCACTGACACACGCAAGTAATGCGACTTAGATACGTAGGTAAGAAAGCGGCGTGCTACTTATATAAAACTCCTTTATATTATAGTAGTGGAAGTGGGCAGGAACGATAACGTAGACGATGCGTGGCCGACTGCGATCAGCCAGTGCACAGACTTAGGCGCCGAGAAAAGTAACAGGTAGAATGAATAAATGATTGCAGGAGCCTACTGTATTAGGCCCGTTTCCTCTGCACTATGTCACTGCCAGCTACCGTAAGCCACGGGAACCATGCTGGCAGGCGGTAAGGCCAGTATAGCAAGCCCTTGGCCCGTCCGGCACCCAGCTCGCTTGTGCTTAGCCTACATAGAGCCCGTCACCGACGGCAGCGCCATGACTAGGTACTAGAAAGTGGGTTGCCTATGAGGTTGGTCGGGTCGACGGTGTTATGATTGAGGTTGATCTGGTGAGAAATGCGCTGTAGGTGCTCCTCCATTCTTTCCTATTTTTTAAGATACCTTAATCGAGATTAGTTCGCGTGTGGCATTACGCCGACGATGTTTCTTACGTTTTCGAACAGCTCTAACGCTCCAGCTCCGAGATTCTAGAATGCGATCAGCTTTAAGAGGAAGACGAATGCTTTAGTAAAGGAGACAAACCTCTCTATTAGGTGCTGGTGTCTGTGTCGTGTTACTATCGGCCCACGGACCTAAGGGATAGGCGTACGCTTTGATAATGAATTATAACCTCCACACACTGTTAGTCTCGAAACACAAGCGCTTGCGGTGACGTACTCGTTTTTGAGTCTCTCGTGCTCCTCCTGCCAGGAGTGCTGCGGTGGTCTATGCAGGGTGGTCAGCTAGCGTGCTCTGCGAGGACGGACTATTGCTTTGACAGACAGGGAGCTTGGAGCACGCAGGCTTGTCCGAGGATAGTCCATGCTCGGTGGACCGTAGCTACCCCGCTGCCATGGCTGGCTATTGACTTGGTGCAACAGCTGTTCGGCCGCTGAGGGTGCTCGATTAGGACTAATAGGTTCGGGTCTTCGGCGCCATGATTCGAAGCCTGCGTTTCCCGGGGGACCAAACTGGTTATTCATATCGATGGGAAGGAGAGGTAACGATATCAACTACCACGACTCCACGGAGAGGAACGAGGGACGGCGAACTTCAACCCGATGCTCGCGCCCATGTTTAATACTGGCGATAGTCCTGCGTGAAACGAGCGACAGATAGGATGAGCGTGATAAACGTTAACGTCTACTTCTGGACGACGGGAGTCGCAAAGCGCAGAGGTGCACGGTGGCGACCTAGTTGTCTGCTTAACGGGACTAAGGCGGCGGAAAGTGTGGGTGGGCCAGATGCGGCCGCCCTGCCACCCAGCTTCAGGACCAGGGTATGCCGTGGGGCTGTGGGATGAAACGGCTTTTCCGGCCGGTAGGGGTAGGGTCAAGTCCCAACCGGCCACATGCCTTGCGTCCGTTCGCTGCAGATCTCACCATAAGGGGGCAACCACGCGGACAGCTGTGGTAAGGGCCCACGAAAACAGTATAGTGGATTCTTTTCACGGCGAACCTGGGTTCATATCGTCTGACTGTACTCCTTTTCGATGTGGCCCTTTCTTGCTTTCGTTCACCCACATTGCAGCGAGGGTCATCCGGTCGGAGGATTACTAGAGTCACAGATGTATACGGTACGTATCATAAGATGCTGAACGATTGGCCGAGCTAGATGTAGCTGGACCACCTGCGCCTGTGATTCGGCCTGTGTAGACATAGCGTAGGCCACGAATGAGATACGGTTATTGCCACGGCCCTAGATTGTACCGCGATACGGTGCACGCAAGGTCCCGACAGCTCGAAAGGAGGGATCAACCGCTTCCACGCGCTCCTGCCCTTATAGCAGATGAACCAGCATATAATCGCCCTTGAGTACCTCACTCCGGGGGAACGCAGCCCTACACGTTAGACACCCATTGCCTAAGTCAAGCCATAGCATAAGGCAACTATCGCAATAGCAGTGGCCGCAGGGTATAAAGGCTGGCGAGCACGCGAGCCCGCCACGGAAGCATATTTGGCACGTCTCGTCATCCCAGTTATACTCTCTGATCCAGGACTGTTTCACCCTCCGCCGGCGCTTTGACGCCACGCACTGGTGACAGTAGAGCTAGGACACGTTAGAGAAAGCTTGGCTAACAAAGGCAGCGAGCGTACGTACAAGACCCAAACCGCTGAGCCGCCATTTCGGACCCCTCGAGAGCCTCTTGCTGCAGGAGCCGCACCTTCGTCGCAGGAACATCTCACCATGCGATGACAGCGAGAGGGGAAAAAGGGTTCGTAAGTTATGCCAGTGTGCCGGTGAGAAAGAGAGATGCGGCTGTAAGGCGAGACCTGTGACATGTATCCCCTCCGTGCGCCACCCCTGCCAGGCCCAATGGGCTTGTGGTTACGCCACACGGTACAATACGATACGCACCTTGAGCTGTACTGTCCGCTTCATGGCAGCTCGGCATGGCTACTACGAGATCGTCAAGTTGAAGGTGTCGAGGCAAGCGTACAAGCATACCTGTGCGAGTGCAAATAGCACATAGAGTAAAGAACCTGGACTGATTCCTAGGTGTCGAGGACTTGTATGCGAGGCGTTACATACGATATACAATAATCCCTTTAGTGAACACAATAAAATAGCCACTTTTTCTACGAAAGATAGGTACCCTCAAACGGACCCCTTCCTGGTGTCTGCACTAGGCGACTAAGGGTGAGTATGGCTACACCCAGCGACCTGCCTCCCTCACCCCTACCTCGCCACTTCCACTGTCTCTTTCCGTTGTCGGGCTGCAACCAGATGGTTTGACCCTTTCGGTCTGACTGCACGTCGAGCACGCGCACTTTCACCCGCGAAGTCTCTTGCAGATTATTAAACGCTACTACAGAGCTTTCCCCCGTCGTCTCGTGCACCCAAGAGCAGTGATCCGCACCCAAGAGGTATGATAGCGCATCCACAGTCAGCTTGATCTCGACTGCCTCGAGTTGAACCTTTCGGCGCTTGGGGAACGGATCGTCCCTGTCGCTCGGTCTTTTGCGCTTCGTAGCGGCCTCCGTTGTCGAGAAATCAGCGCCCGTGTCACCCTGCCGTGGCTGGCTCAGGTTGGCCTGCTCCTCGGCGTCGGCGCTGACGCACGTGGATGCTGTCTCCGTGTCACCGTTCTCTGTCGTTGGGACGGCCGTATTCGCCAGGTCTGCCTCGGGGTCTGGCGGTACCACTGTGAGATCGGCAGGGCAG